GAAGGTTCTGGCTGGTATTTCTAGCTCAGCTTTGGACCGGCTCATATCATATCCATGGGCGGCTGTGGCTGAGTGGTTAGAGCAGTCGTCTTCCAATGCAAAAGTTGGGGGTTTGAATCCACCAGCTGTCACATGCCGAAGTGTCCCTGGGCAAGTCACTGAACCCCTCATTGCCTCCGATGTGTGTCCCATCGGTGAATGAATGTGATAAAGCACTGATTAGTCTCTTTAGAATGATTTGTTCAGTTAGCTTTGTAGAGCTCTAGTAGAGTGCTATATGAATGGGTAAATGAGGACACAGATTGCAGTGTAAAGCGCTTTGAGTATCTTGATCAGATAGAAAGGCGCTATTTAAGTACAGACCATTTACCATCTCACAGAACTTTCTGCATCAAGACAGACAGGTTCTCCTTTGATTAGGCCCCCTTAACTTGTGGAACTGAGCCTTGTGGCACCACAAGGCTCAGTTCTGGGTCCACTTTGGTTTTCCTTTTATATTATCCCACTTGCCGGAATTATTCAATCCTTTTCTGATATTTCCTATCTCATTTATGCTGATGACATTCAATTGTATTTTTCGTTTAGACCACGCCAGCTGGATAAACTGGCCATCCTTGTCCAATGTTTGTCCCGTATCAGTGACTGGCTTGCCAGTAACATCTTGGTTTTAAACACAAGTAAGACAGAGACTTGACTTTGACTTTATCAGGTCTCTCTTGTAAATGAGTCCTCGAGGCTCAATGGGATTTACCTGTATAAATAAAGGTTGATTGATTACTGCTCCCAGTCACCTTCACTCAAAAATCAATCAGAAAATTGCCTCTTTCTGCCCAGTAGCCAAATCAAAAGTAAAAAATTTAGGAGTCACTTTTGCCTCATCATTAGGCTTTGAGTCTCACATTAGGGCTATTTCCCGTTCTTGTTTCTTTCATTTAAGAAACGTTTCTAAAATACGACCTATGGTCTCCAGAGTTGACCTAGAGAAAATTATTCACGCTTTTGTGTCATCGCGTCTGGACTACTGTAATGCCCTTTTTACCTGCCTGGACAAGTCTTCTGTTTCACGTTTACAAGTAATTCAGAACGCAGCTCCCAGACTTCTCGCCAAATCCAGCAAATACTGTCACATCACTCCAGTTCTATATTCACTACACTGGCTCCCAGTCGAGTTAAGAATCTGTTTCAAAGTTCTTGTGCTGACGAACAGAGCTTTAAATGGCCAGGCTCTTGTGTATCTTTGTCAGCTTTTAACCAAATACTCTGCTGCTCGTGGCCTTCGTTCCCAGTCACAGAGCCTCTTGGATGTTCCACATACGCAGCTGAAAACTAAAGGGGACAGGGCCTTTCAGTCAGTGGCTCCAAGGCTGTGGAACAGTTTGCCCCTGCAACTTCATTCTGCTGACTCTGTTGAGGTTTTTAAAAAGCAACTGAAAACACTTTTATTCTCCCAGGCTTTTATGTCATGATTTTATTGTGCTTCTTGAAGTTCTTATGCTTGTTTTATTCTTTGTATATTTTAGAGTTGATTTTTATTGTACAGTGCTTTGTGATTTTATGTCTGTGATAAGCGCTCTATAAATAAACTTTACTTACTTACTTACAACTTAACAGTTTTTAAAGGGTGGGAAGATCCTTTAATAGCTCATTTCTGAACTCCTCATTTCTTCTTTTATCAACTTCCACCACTTGGTCTTCTTCTCTGATTTTACTCGTCTTCTTCTTCACCACAACAGTCATCCTACACACTACCATCCAATGCTGTTTAAAAATCACTCACCTGCCACAACCTTACTGTTCCCAATCTCTCTCACATTAATTCAAACTTGTTGATATTATAATGCAATTATAAGCACAAGTATGAAATTCAACTTGCTGAGTATGCAGTGTTAACCACTTTGTACGAGGTGGGTATAGTCTAATCTAATGTGTCAAAAGTACAAATTAACCAGTACCTAGCTGGTGTTTAGTTCCAGCAGTAGTTGTGTGAGAGATGGGAGTAAAATTTGGACAGGCTGCCTATCCATTCCAAGACCAACACAAATAAAAATAAAAATGCATGATCCCACCTATTTACAAATTTGAGTTGCCAACGATTGATCAGAATACCTGTATAGACAACAGTCACCAAGGAACACAATGTCGCTTGTCCATATGAGGTTTACTGAGGACACACCCTGGTGCCAGGCCTGGAAGAGGTGCTTTTCTAAGAGCACCTGGTGACTGGACCTCTATCTATGGGGTCCGATCCAGCTCAAATTGAATGAGTTACATTAATTTGCCTTCTTGTGGATCCACCACTTGCAGAAGGGGCCATACAAGTCGGGTGACTGGTGCCATGGGAAGTAAATAAAAGTGGTGGACTTGGCACTCTGACCCTGACTCGAAAGCACTTTGATAACAGTTACTGTTTTAAATCTGCTATATAAATAAATGTGACTTGACTTATTAAAGTAAGTATTTGGTACATGGAAGTTCATCTCTCTGGTGGGGAAATAGCCTCAGCTTGTGCATGAGGTTGAAAGGTGAAAGGATAGTGTACAGTAGCTTTCCTACACCTTTGGATACAGGGATAAACTCTAATAGTTTTGTGTGTGTGTGTGTGTGCTTATACGCCAATCAGCAGTTCAGAGTACCCAGCCTTCTCGAAGTTCTAAGCAGGGGTGCTGGTGCTCCAGCAGGGAAATTCTTTATTCTGCTGGGGAACTTCAATGCCTATATGGATAGTAACAGTGTGATCTGGAGGGGTATTCTTTTGTTGAACTTCTGTGCTAGTCATGGTTTGTTCATCACAAACATTTGAACATAAGCACAACATGGCACCAGGACACAGTAAACAACAGATCAATGATAGACTTTGCAGTCGTGTCATCTGATTTGCAGTCAAATGCTTTGGACCCTTGGGTGAAAAGAGGAGCTGAGATGTCAACTGATCACCACCAGGGGTAAGTTGGATCAGACAGAGGAGAATGATGCCAGACAAACCCAGTAGACCTTAACATAAAGGGAAGGCTTGCTGGGAACACTTGGCAGAAAAATCTGTTAGAAAGATCTTCGACTTACGCAGCCGAGAAAACTTCAACCGCATCCCCGTGAAATCAGGAGACATTGGGTTCTAGTGGACCATGTCCCGCGCCTCTATTGTCAAAGAAGACTTGAGCTGTGACCGCAAAGTTGTCAGTGCCTCTCATAGTGGTCATCCTCAAACCCAGTGGTGGACGCCCAAGGATGAACATGGCTGTCAAGCTGAAAAAGTCCTATTGGGCTTTGCTGGCTGGAAGAACTTCAAATGCAGCTGAATGGTATCAGTAGATCGAGTGTGCTGTAGACCTAGCTGTTGATGAGGCAAAATGTTAGATGTGGGAGAAGTTCAGTGAGGCTATTGATAGAGACTCTTGATTAACTTTGAGAAGATTTTGGCAAACTATCAGGCAGCTGAGGCAGGAAAAGCGGCACTTTACCAACACTGTGTATAATGGAGGTGGGGTGCTGTTGACCTCAACCAGTGATGTCATCAAGCGGTGGAAATAATGCATCTTGGATAGTCTTAATCCCACTAGCACATCTTCCATGGAAGAAGCTAATAGGTTACAGTGGTAGATAAATAGTTTCACGGTGACAGGGTTGCAGGGCTGGATGAGATCCACCCTAACATCCTCAAAGCTTTGGATGATGCTGGGCTGTCTTTATTGACACGCTTTGGCAACATCGCTTAGACACTGAAGGCAGTGCCACTGGATTGGCAGACTGGGGTGGTGGTTCCTCTTTTCAATACGGGAAACCAGATAGTGTGTTCCAATTACAGGGGCATCAATTAAAAGGGTGCTGGAGAAGACAGCCCTAACAATGGTCAAATTTTAGAGTCAGGAGGAACAATGTGGGTTCCATCCTGGCCGTGGAATATTAGATTAACTCTTTATAATCACTAGGGTCCTCTAGGGGGCGTATGAGTTTGCCCAGTCAGGCTACATGTTTTTGTGGATTTGGAGAAGGCATTCGACCATGTTCTTTGAGATACACTCTGGGGGTTCATTGTGACTATGGGTGGGGGGCTGTTGTTATGGGCCATTCAGTCCTTAAACAAGCTGTGAAAGAGTCTGGTATGAATTGATGGCAGTAAAGCCCCCAGTATACTGCCGCATACGTAAGCGTGAACGGACGTACGCGTGTACTGTACGCAGAGGGTTCAGACTTCAGACTCCAGCGTACACATTGAGCAGCTGCAGAGCAGCTTCACAGACAAGGGGCGTTTACCTTCGGGACAAATTGAGGTCGCCGATTGGTCATTTGCTGACATGCCTATTGGATTGATTGGCAGGTTGGGGGAAAAAAAAAACGAGCGCTGGCAGCCTCAGCCACAGCGGTGTTCTGTGTTTATATGTATGTTGTTAATAAAAAGATCTAAAAAAAACAAAAAAAAAACAGGGAGCGCTAGCTCTGCAGCCCACACATCAGACCAGCCCACCAGGAAATCTCCAGACCCTCCCGCAGCCATGCTGGACCTGAGTTTAATTCGCTCGTGATAAATTCCTTCATTTCTCACCATTTCAGTCATGGCATCAACGGAGGAGGAAGAGATCACTTGCCTCTTGGCAAAAAAAAGAAAAAAAAAAGAAAAGGCCAGATCAGGGATGAAGAAGGGTAATTTAATACATTGGTGTTGCATACAAAACAGTCCGTCGCTGGGCAGTTTATTGTGCGACACCGCGTACGCATTTGCGGTCGTAAAATTTTGAGCTTTGCACGGACATGCCCTGGGGGGTACGCTCGTACCTCTGCGTACGTACGTGCGTACCTCTGTGTATGGATGTACGCAGGAGTATACTGGGGGCTTAAGTCAGACTCTTTCAGGTGGGAGTTGAACTCTGCCAGGGCTGCCTGTTGTCACAGATTCTGTTTATAACTGTTATGGACCGAATTTCTCTGTGCAATCAGGGGGCAAAGGAAGTACAGTTCGTAGTCTCTGGATTCCATTTCTGCTGTTTGCAAATGATATGGACCTGTTGCCATCAATGTGCTGTGAAGCTGATGCCCCCATAACCCAACCCCAGAACAAGCAGAAGATGATGGATGAATGCATGGATGGATGGATAGAACAATTAACCTACCATTCATTTTTTCAACAGGGGTATATAATTTACTAATGCACAAGGAGAAATGCAAACTTCATGCTAAAAGGCCCAAGCCTGGAGGTTGAAACTAAGATGGTCTTGCTACAAAAACAGTTCAAGCCACCTTTTCCCACTATGTAAGCCTTTATTACAATATGGCAAACAAAATACAAATTTGACTTAATCCTGGATTCCTTACTCCTATCTAATCAGAGCTTGATTCACAAAATTCTTCCAAATTTCCACAATACCCATTAACTGGTAGTAATTTTTAATTTTCCTGAAGGAATCTTCCCAAGGAATGAAAAAAGTTATATCTAATCTAATATAATATAATACAAAAACAAGCTATTGTTTTCTTATTAAAGCTAAAACATTCAAAAGGAATTACGTACCTTTTTTCAATCGACGAATAGCTAAAAACCTCCGTCGAATACGTGGCTGCCTATCTTGGTCAGCCACCTGTTCTGGAGGCACAGCATGGCGTTCCTCATAGCTCAGTCCAACTCTATGAAGATGTCCTCGCACATGATTGGACAGTCCAACACCAGACTCAAAAATGGCAGGACAGTACGGACAGTTTTTCTGGTCTGAATCCAACTCTAACAAATCGTCTGTGGGAGATTCCCCAAATGGTATTTGATGGGACTCAAAAGTTTCTTGAAATACCTCTGTTTCTATGGATTCTTCTTTGATTTCAGGGTCGTTCTGTTCTTGCTCTTCAGTCTTTATTTTCTCAAACAGTTTTTTAGATGCCTGTAAAGCACCTCTCATGGACATTCTTCTACTATAGGTGTAAAATATGTGTTTTTTCTCTTTTTTGATGCCACTGTCAAAATAGCTACTACTGGCTTCAGAATCCCTACCTGGGAAAATGTCTTTTTCAAGGTCTGCCACATCTTCCAGGTTGAACTTCTTGGGACTTGACAAAGGTTTTGGTAAAATAAAGCATGAGTCTTGGTCAGAGGTGTTGCGGTATGGAGTGGACATTTTACGTTTAGAGGATGACTTTTTGACTACTGACTGGTCTGTGTTCATCTTCGTATTATTTGGGGATCCGGCAGAAAATTCAACCTTGACAGCCATTGTTTGTGGTGTTTGGTCACAGACATTTTTATCACTTTTGGAATCCTGAGCACTGGAATTATTGCTTTCCATCTTCCGTTTGGCATCCTTATTTCCATTGCTTTGACGAGACAGAAGAACATTAATGGATTTGTCAAGTTTAGATTCTGTTACTTTAAACTTTGAACCTTCCTTTACTTTGTTGTTTTTGAACAAGTCAGAAATGCTACTGGACTCATCAGGAGAAAAATCTTTTTGACAGATTTGATTTTGTATTGATATTTTGGATGTGAACTCTGTATCTTCAGCAGGACTTTTACATGTAGGTAACTCATCATTGGCTGGTTGTGTGCAGTTCCCACTGTTATGTGCTTCTGTATATTCGTCAAAAGTCAACTGATGACGTCGAATTAGATGTTTCTGAAAAACATGTTTGCCAAAAGCTTTATAAGAACAAATTTCACAAGGGAATATCTTAATTTCTTCCCTGAGTTTCTGTTTTTTAATGGTAACAACAGTGTGATCCAGAAGGTGATGGTTCCTAAAATCACTTTCATTCAGAGTTGTAAAGCAGCATTTGTCACATTTAAGCTTTCCCTTGTCCTTTTCATGTGTTTTTGCGTGTTCAACAAATGTGTTTGGGCACGTTGTTCCAAATGAGCACTGAGGGCAGAAAAACATTGTGATTTTTCTTCCTTCTATTTTCTTATCTTTTATATCTATGACTTCTTCCTTCAGTTTTGATCTCTCCTCCTGATGTATTGACATGTGATCGATTAATGCACCACTCTGTTGAAAAGACTGGTCACATTCTCGGCATGTAAAAGGCTTTTGCGAAACTGCAGAAGGGTCTTCATGAGATTTCATATGATAAAGCAAGCGATGCTCTTTCTTGAACGAGAGTTTACATTTTGAGCAAGGGTAACGCAATGACCTTTCTGAATGCGAATTTATCATAAGCCCTCTCCTCAATGGTGAAATTTTATGATTGATACTATTTTTATCTGAACTTTCAGGTGTTTTGTAAATAATTTCTTTGATAGATTTTACAGTTCCATTGGGATATTTGGAAACTTTTTCTGTAGGTGATGACTGTGGAGTAGTGGAATTGAAGTTTTTCTCTGGTTTTGTAACTCTATTAGGACCAGAGTCTATTTGGCCTACTTCATCACATGACTCTTCAGATGACTCTGGGCTCAGATTAGGGTACAGGTCTTCTGAGGGGTCCACCATAACAACCATGTCCATTTTCCGTTTTCTTTTCCTTTGAATGTTGACAGGACTGACTTCCTCTTTAGGCTCCTTGCTGGGGGAATTACTATGGTTATCCCATAAAAACTGCATAAATTCTTTGTGAGGGTCCCAGTTGAGGTCATTGGCTCTGCTGAAATTATCCAATGAGTTTTCAGGTGATTCAACATCAAACCCCCAAATTCCCACATTATCTAGTTCCTGCACAGTCTTTAGTGGGGTAATGCTCTTTTCCTCCTCTTTTTCAGAGGAGATGCTGTTGAGTTCATGGTCTTGTACAGCCAAATGCAAAGCTGGGCCATTCTCCAAGCCAACTGGCGACAACATATCTGTGTTTGACAAAACATCAAGAACGCTGGTCTGTTTCAAAGAGGGCTTGCCAAAAGAAGAGGTGCAGGAGGCTGATTCTTGTGCCATTCTCACAGATTCCTGCATGATTGTGTGGGCATTAAGTTCCGAATCAGCATCTTTGTCATCTTCATCAACACCTGTCAGACATGACATTTCCGCTGCCATGACCTGAAAAACAAACAAAAAAAGTAAAGTCTTTTTGGATTTTAATAACAGTTTCAATACAGTGTAGCCTACTTGACATTCAGAAGACAAAGATTAAACCAAGTTCTCTTTACAAATAGCTTGGGGGCAAAATAGAGTTTAAATTCAATTCCCTATATTCTAAAAGTTTTAAATGAGACTGTAAAACCTTACATTTTAAAAATTTTGTGACTAAGCAGTCTCACAAACTTGTTGCTTGAGTTTCATATTTGTTCAAAATATTGTACAAATTATCCCTCAAAATAATCAGAATGATCTTGAACATCTCAAACCTGTCTCAAGAGTATTAGAATCATATTTTGACACTTACAAGGAGCTCTCCTCTAACAGATGATAAAAGGTTTAAAAAAAAATCACAAGCAGGGAGACAAACAAATAGACAGTCAGACAGTCAGACAAAGAGAAAAAAGATGGACTGAAGATTAAATGAAAGCCAAGACTTTATATGCACTGGGAGTGGCAAGGTAAGTGGCTGCAGCTGATGCAGCTGACCAATGAGAACAACGAACAGGTGTGAATGGAAAACTAAGAGAAAGAAATGACTGAAGAACAGAAATTACTTGTGACACATGGAAACAATCAGAATAAGCTTTATTATCATTGCACCGTGATAAGAGAATATGTCCGTACAGCTGTCCGAAAGATGGGCGGAGTGCACGAAGCTGCTGCTATAAATTGCGGCTTTCTTATCCTTTTCAGAATACATTTTTTAGATAGAAAAAAGGGGCAAAGCCATTAGGAGAGTATAGTGGCATTACAAAAAAGATCTCTTCACACCTTGTTTTAACAGGACACGATTTAAGAAATCAAAAAAACTCTGCCAGCAAGCACATTTAAGAACACATTACATATGCATTTATGACGAGGCGGTCCATGAAGCACTATAAGATAGTCCATTGTCCTGATAAGATGATGGTCAGCTGGCACAGTTCTGATAAGCCTCCACAGGGGGGGGGGGGGGGGGTTGCGATAGACAAAGCTTTTCCTTAATTTACACATTTCCTAGGAGAAATTGATAAGTTGGCCTGTTTCGAGGTCAACCGGGGAGTCAGATTCAGATAACCAAAATTGTTGATTTATTCAGGCAGACTATTTTTTCCTTGTCAGCCTTTGAGTCTGTACTGATACTTCCAAGGTCCGAAATGGCCAGATTAGGGTGCATTCCACTGGTCCGTGCTTACGAGCCTCTTCAATGTCATTTTATGTTGACGATTCCCAAAGCTGCAAGTGGTCTGCAATTCAAATCACTTCCAACTTGCGGTTTCGCTCATAAATCAGCTGATTTTGAGTCCTCCAAGCACGAACCAAACCTTCACATAGGCAGCAGCCTGACGAGATCCAAATTAGCTGCGGCTGTCTTCTTTGTATGTTGATAAACCAGGATTCAGACTATTCCAAAAACAGGAAACCTGTTATCATAAATCCAATTATATGCAATTACGGCATCCTCATTCGATAGCAGAGGTAGACACATCACCCCCAGAGATATATCCAGCTGCATGCGTGTCGTCTGAGCAGATGAGGGTTTTCCAGGACCCTGTCGCTTTGTTGAAAAGATTTTGTCATTTGTGTCTAAAGTCCAGTTGGTCAGATCCAAAACAGTAGTTTTCATTTTGGAAGATGTGTAAAAATAGGAGCTGCTCCAATACACAGACAGAGACCAAAAAAACTGGAGGACAACAGGGAGCGGGAAGAAACGCGTGAGCCTCATTAAAATAAAATCAAAATCAAACTAAATTGGGTGGTGCATCAAGATTTCCACCTCAAAAAGGTATATGGATGATAGTTAAATGGTAAGCTTCAATTGGAAGTAAAGAAAGCATTTGCATCACTTGTGAAATTACCATGGCACACTGGAAGTTGACGTTGATGCATTAATGATACACTTTCGTGATTGAACAAATACAGTGACAGTGCTGAATTAGATAGTATGTGCAATATAAAGGTACTATAATTGTCTGTGTACAAGCCGCTACTTTTTTCTCACACTTTGTACCCCGCGGTTTATATAAAGGAGCACCTAATTTATAGGTTCTTTTTCCTCATAATTTTCACAAGTTATATTTTCATATTTTATTTTGACAAACTTCCTGCTGTCTCTTGGTAACATCCTGCTGCTGACTAACATTTCCTTTTGACAGAGCTGGGCACTTGTGGCTGCCCACCCCCAGGCTTTTGTGACACAGAGTGAATGCCCTCAGGTAATCACATGTACAAAGACTCTTGCTCACGGTTTCAAATACCCAACCATAACTCCAACCACTCTGTCATCATGTGACCAGAAGTCTAACCTGAATGACCAATGAGGTAAAGTCTCGAGGACCATCCCCCAAGATAGACATGCATTAATTTCTTCAGAATGTTCCCGTATCATTCCCGTATTTTGCGCTTCATGCACAGACATGTTCATTTGTTCAGAGATAATGGAAAACGCAGAGAATTTCTTAAGATGCAGCTTTCAAGTTAAAAGCGATCAATCTGTCTGTCTAAAGCCTCCAGTATACTGCCACGTATGTCCGTTCACGTGTACGTACGCGTGCACTGTACGCAGAAGGTTCAGTCATTAAACTCCAGCATACACCCTGAGCAGCTGCAGAGCAGCTTCACAGACAAGGGGCGTTTACCTTCCGGACAAATTGAGGTCGCCGATTGGTCATTTGCTGACACGCCTACTGGATTGATTGACAGGTCGGAAAAAAGAAAAAAGATCTAAAAAATTTAAAAAAGAGCGCTGGCTCTACAGCCCACAGGAGGAAGAGATCACTGGCCTCTTGGCAAAAAAAACAAAAGAAAAGAAAAGGCCAGATCAGAGATGAAGAAGGAGAATTTAATACATTGGTGTCGCATACAAAACAGTCCGTCGCTGGGCAGTTTATTGTGCGAAACCGCGTACGCGTATGCGGTCGTAAAAATTTGAGCTTTGCACAGACATGCCCTGGGGGGTACGCTGGTACCTCTGCGTACGTACGTGCGTACCTCTGCATATGGATGTACGCGGCAGTATACTGGGGGCTTAAGAAGGAAACAAAGCTGCTGCCTATAAGCTTTGCCTCAACGTGTCAATGGTCAGGCACTGGTCCAGAGACACCAAGCAGTCAAGTCTGGTACATGTTTAATAAAAGTTTTAAAATTCTTTTTGTGTGACATCTTTCTGTTTATTAATTCAACCTTTATTTAATCAGGTTAGTCCCATTGAGCCACAAGGACTCATTTATAAGAGAGACCTGGAAACCTGTGTAAGGTAAATATGCATTTAAATACCGGGATCTCATTTTAAACTCACATCCGAACACGGAGTGAAGAACAACAACGAAGAACAACAGGAGGGGCTCTTACCCCTCCACTTCTATCATGAGAGCTCAGCAGAGAGGTCGTCAGATTTATTTTTAAAGCAGTCAGTTAGTCAAGACTAATACATATTTAAATAAAAGTTTTTTTTAATCTTTCTTTGTATGGTAAATATGTGTTTATATGCCATTATCTCATTTAAGCTTAAACGGGCGCAGGAAAAATGGAGCGGAGGAGACAACGGAAGTGAGGGGCTGTTCCCCCTTCCTCCTCATATGAGCTCTGCTGAGTAGAAATCACATCAAATTTATTTATAAAGTACATTTAAAAACAGCAGCAGTTACCGCAAGTGTTTAACAATAAAAATCAATGGTACTAATTTACCATACCATACCACTTTATTTATAGAGCACTTAAAACAGCGACAAGGCCAACCAAAGTGCTGTACAGACAGAACAACAGGTAACACACAAAGCAAAATACAAAATGAGGTAAATCAGAATATAGACATAAAAACGATGCAGATAATGACGACTAACCAGTGTGGAGCATACAGGATCAAAACACAGATCATCTGGTGTTGAAAGCCACTGAATAGTAGTGGGTTTTTAAACGGGACTTGAAAACCGAGAGGGAGGGGGCCTGTCTGACAAGCAGAGGTAACTCGAACCAGAGTCTTGGTCCTGCTACAGAGAAGGCCCTGTCACCTCTGCGCTTAAGACGAGTTCCTGGAACTGTGAGGAGTAACTGGTCCGCTGACCTCAGGGAACGTGGTGGGACATACGGTTGTAGCAGATCAGAGAGATGGGGGGTGAAACTGTTCAGTGATTTGTAGACATACATCAGTATTTTGAACAGGATTTGAAAGTGAACCGGTAACCAGTGCAGTGAGGCCAAAACTGGTGTGATGTGCTCTCTTTTGCCTGTACTGGTTAAAAATCGGGCTGCTGCATTCTGGACCAGTTGTAGTCGTACAACGGAGGTCTGACTGATACCAAACAGGAGTGAATTGCAGTAATCAAGCCTAGATGTAATGAATGCATGTATTACTGTCTCCAGGTTCTTTTTGGACAATATGGGCTTCAGTTTAGACAGCCGCCTCAGTTGGAAGAAGCATGATTTTACAATCATGTTTACATAATTGTTACGTTTCAGGGAAGGGTCCATTATCACGCCCAGATTAGTGACTCTTTGTTTTTCTGACAGAGTTAGAGCAGAGAGGTCGATACAGTAATATTTACTGTATTTTACTGGTTCTATTTGACTTCTGGTCACATGACCTCAATAAGATTTCTGGGTAATATTTACCAGTATATCATTTTAAATAATTTCGGTTTTGAAAGTGTTTTGCACTGTTCTGTCCAGTGATTATGCTTAAATGGTTCTTGTGTTCATTTTGTAGGTTTTAACCATGAGTCAGACATTGAACCATCATGAAGACTCATGACGATCATGCAGTCTGAATGCGTGTGGAAAGCAAGCTATAATCTATGAAACGCCATCCGGTGGCTGATTCTTATATTACAACAAGAAAGCTGCACATTACATTGGAGCTGTCTGGGAACAGGTCCTGACAACAAACGGTGGATGCCCGCGGCTTAATAACCAGAGCGCCTTATTTATGTACAAAATTATGATTTATCTTATATTTATTATGTGCAGCTTATAATAATAAT